CAAGCCAGAGGGAGAGCCTGTGCATGAACCAGCAGGGTGGACAGCAGGGAATATTAAAAGGTCCTGGGTTTCACTGTGCCTGGGAGGGTGGGCAAGGAGGCTGTTAAAAATGTAGAAGCTAGTTGTTGTTTAAATCTGACCTTGAAAAAGTGTCTATCTACTCTGAATGACCTCTTGCCTTCTCAGATCCCTTCATCAACAGGCAAAGGGCCAATGGCTTCATACATGCTGACACGAGACTAGAAGCCATCTCTCAGGAGAGGTATGTTATGGCCTCAGGACACTGAGGATGGGAGTAGGGAGAGGTCTCTCCTTGCCAGGCACAGGCTAGTACCAGGGGAGGAAGCCATGGTGACTTCTGGGAATCCTCAGTCCCTCTTTCAGTGTGAGGTGCCCGTGAAGTCCCCAACCCTGGGAGAAGCCAGAACTCAGATAGCAGCGAGACAGTCCTTGCATTTGTGGATGTCATGTGCTGGGAAGCCTCTGCTGGATTTGTCTGAAGGAAACAGCAACAGAAGGAAGGGGAATTAGCGTGGGATGGCCAGAAAGGAAGCTCAGTTTGAGATCTTGTTCTAGTCCTCAGCTGTCATGCAGAATTTGTATGAACTTTTCTAAATCATGGGGCCATCTGGGGGCCTCCTTGCCTCATCTATGAAAAGCAGATATATGCAGTTTCATGCCTCATGCGGGGCTTGTGAAAATAGAAGCTGAAGCACAGAAATAATCTTCTAGCGAGACATCAAGGCAAACCTCCTCAGTACCAGGTGCCCCTTTTGCAGGATGTTTCAGTTCTTTGTTCCATGTGTGGCTTTGGGGAAGAGCAAAATAGCTGAAGGCAGCAGGCTGAGGGTGCTGCAGAGGGAGGACTCTTCCTCTTGTTGAGGCAAGAGCCATCCCCCTTTCCCCACCACCCTACTTATCCCTGAAATAAAAGGTCACATGGGAAGGCAAAATGCTCCTGTTGCAGTCACGTTGCTCCCCTGGGTGCTGTGAACACAGAGGCTGGTATGCTAACATCTTGGTAGTGGGATGATAGAATCTGGTGATGGACCCTTAATCCTGGTGGGGAACAGTGAGGCAGGAAAGGACTGTAGATGGATATTTAAGATGACCACACTTACCACTCATCTCTCCTACGTTTTCAGGATCAGAGAGCGTAATAAGGCGCCCCAGGAACGTCAGAGGGAGATCTGCGAGGACTACTACCCCTGTGAACTCTATGCTTTTCGCCATGGCTATGCTGCTGCTTACAGGCACTATTTTGGGAGGAGGAGGACTAAGTAAAGTATGACCTGTCCCCACCCTGGGGCCTGGAGCCCAGGGTATCCTCCCAAAAAATGCAATGGCTCTGAAACATATTCAGTTGCTTGTGTTCCTGTATGTTATCCTGCCTGCTTATCTCCCATGTAGCCATGGATTCCTACACTGTGTTAATTAGCGCTGAGCTGATGCAGCAGAGATCGGAGAGAGTTCAGGATGTGGGTGTTTACTATGCAATAAATTGCTGGTTTGATACTATCTTCTCATGAGTCACAGTATTTTGTAGGGGGGTGTGCAATTTTCCATTGAGAAGCTGAGTTTGTTTATCATAGAATCTGGTGTGGATTATGGAAAAAAGTCACTGCCTTGCAATCACATGAGTTTGAAAGGATCTACAATGTTTTTGCTCCAAGGTCTTCTTTTAGAGGTCACTGGTAAATTCCAGTTCCCAGTCTTATGACATCTTAAAATGGTGTGGTGCTCAGAAAGCAGGGATGCACCTTTTGAAAATGAAATCTATAATATCTTCTTTTCAGTTGTGGAAACAAAGTTCAGAAGACATCTGCTTAATCTCAAAAATAAAGTTAGAGCAAGAGTTAGTGACACAGAAAGCCTGTAAATTGCATTGTCTATCCAGCTACCCTCAGGTCCTGATGTAGGGTGCTCCTGGAGAAAGGAGTGTGTAATCCAGACTTTACTCATATTTCCTTTTGGAATCCCCTTTCATGCCCTTACTTCCACTTGAATGATTCTGGTAATGCTAGAAAGCTGCAGAAACCAAAGTTGAAGAGGGGCTCCAGGTTGTAAATAAAACAAAATAAAAGAAAGTCAGTGTTTGGGGTTAAGCTTAACTTTGTTCACCTAGAATAGTTTTATTTTACTGTCCATAACTCATTCAAAATCAAGATGTTGCCTGACCTTGCGCACAGGTTGCTAAGCACCTCCTGGCCCATTGAGGAGTAAGAATGACTACTGTCGGGTTGTTACTGTAGGCCCACTGATGAATGAGGTGGGTGCC